GTTTATGATAAGATAATGAATGAATAGTTTATGATAAGATAGTGAATGCATAGAAATTCGGTAATTTTACGTCATTTACCGAAAAATTTTAAAATACGGTAAAATGGATGTTTCTCCCATCTCAGCAGCCTAAAATTGTTCGAAATGTTTACAAACAAACACATACATATCCACATGATGATAAAAGTCTGCAGCTATTCAGGACCATATATTCCAGCGCATTTTTAACTTCAACGACTCAGGACAATTACATAACAAAATTTTATGAGAATATCATGACAACAAAGGTTTATATTTTAATGGTTAGGAATATATAATTTAACTAAATAACATAATTTATCAACTTTCCTTGAAGAACTACATTAAAAACATTGTTTGAAATATTTTCATAACTAGTGTTGTAAAATTAAAATTTTGAAACATTAATGAACTATTTTTCAACTGCAAAAGCTATTTCAAGAAAAACAGTTAAAGAGTAGAGAAATAATCAACAAGCAGAAAAAATTTTAATATGTTCCAAAAACAAAGGCAATGTTTTTCTCAATAAAAAGTGAAAGTACGTTTAAAAAATAGATTTCAGTAATCCGTTAATGAATAATTCAAACAACAAATATACAAAACGATTATTTACAATGCTTATGACATTATTTTAATTATAGAAGCTACAATGGAATGAAGATTTTCCCGTGTTCTAACAAATGCTATCACAAATCGTTTCTCTGGATATACGTTCCTTCTGAATACCATCCTTCTCCTTTTCAATTTTCTCAGTCCCCTTCCTCGCATCGACAACCACGCGGTTTCATCATCACTTAATTTAATCTGCGCTCTCGAATTTCGTCCTTCTCTATTCTGCAGTTAATTTTAGCATACCTATCTCATTGAATATTCATCATTATAATCATCAATGCACCCAAACATCTTTACTGGCTAAAAGTGTTCTAAAAATACAATACGACTTTGGCTAGCAGAAAGCGACACAGCTGATGATTAGTTACAAAAAGGCAGAAGACTTTTATTACTTATTATTTATGTACTTATTACATTTTTGGGTACTTATTACATTTCTGTTTATGCTACATTTATGCCATTGTATTCAACTGAATAAAAATATCGCTCTGAAACAGTGCGCGGTTCTGCGATGCATCCCCTTAACGCAAATGAGCAATTCGCACTTTAGTGATGGCAACCTAACGGTAGTTTGGTTTCGTCGGAATTAGAACGAAAATTCAGTTCAGTCGCAATTCCGATCGAATTCCAAAAATGATCGGTCGTAATTCGAATATCGGATTTCCGACCGAACGTCGGTCGGACGCCATCACTAGCACGCATTCGTTCACCTCATGATCCTTTTATCTACCTATCCATAAGTCCATCCACCTAACTGTCTACTTTGTCTGCGTATGAATAAATCCATTCTATTGCTTTTCTTCAACAAAATCCTTACTTGTTTGTTTTCAGATGTCTACCCTTTTGCCTCCCCATAAACGTTCCTATACATATATCAAAAAAATCGAACGGTCGGCCATTAGGATGAAGAATAAAGAATCTCAAATTCTGATTGTAATCCTTTGATCTGTATTCTATAAGATTTGATACATACAAATCGATTAAAAGTTGTCCACAATGACTGAACAGAGAATCACAGAAAAACATACCCATCTAATTACATAATCGTCATTATGCTCACCAATGCACCCAAACATTTTTATTTACCAACCGAACCCTACAAATTTCCCACAGCTAATGCCACCATACCAACTCGCTAATCAAATCGATCGATGCTACTCCAATTCCCATATGCTCTCCTGCTAACCTTTCCTTCTGTTTAAATTCAGCCATTCCGTTCACTCCAACTTCGTTCATCAAAATGCTTATAATCCTATACCCTAATGCTTCTTCATCGATCTTAAAATCAACAAACAACTAATGAAAACGAAGAATATATTATACAAAAGTACATTAAAAATGAACGAATGAACAAATTCTTTGAAATGTCGCTTCAAAACAACAACAATAACAAACAGTCATCTACTTCCTCACACAAACGCAAACACAACAACAAATACATCGTCTTCATAACTTTCGCGACAACACTACCTTTCAACAAATCAGTCCAACCACCCGACCCATCCATCAATTTCTTCTCAACAACCACCACACCGATCCTCCACACCATCAAATCGAACATATTTTTATTCTTTTCCAAACACCACCAATCATTGTTACAGCCAATACTGGGATGACAATGCGTAAATATTGGACAAATACAGCTATTAACTAACCGCATCCTTACTCACAATATAATGAATTCGTCGTTACCATAGTGACATACTAATACGTTTACATAGCAGTTTAACACTCGCATGTCATCATGCTTTCTTTATTCATCAAAATACTTCTGAATAATTAGCACCTATGATTATTGCTTACTAACCCGTTACAAGTTATCTCTGATAACTGTTATCTTTGATCATCACTGCTGCCGGGCATAACCCTTCCTATTTTTTGAAGTCTCTTTCAAACTCTCTTCTCTGTCTAACCGTTTGCCAGTCAATCCACGCATCAATTACCACTCAGTGAAGCAATCAGCGTCTATCCACCTATACATCTCGTCATTCCAATTCGCTCTTTAGAGCCTTACTCGATCGATAACTGACGCGTTACCAACAACACTATTTATGAGTATCCCTGTGTGTCGTTTCAAGCGACTATTCGAAAGCTGATTTGCCATTCTTCATTCTCTTTTCGAATCGTCAACTCAACAACGAGTCAACAAGCAACGATTCATTCATCGGCCACTCTAATTCTCTGCTTATTTTACGTTTAGAAATACATACCTGAAAAGATACAAAAGCGTCAAAAAAAGAGTACAACCCCTATTCCATCCATGCGCCATCCTATTTTTGCTTTTCGATCCATACTGATTCCTGTCTGAAGTCGGGTGGGGGGCCATCGAATTGCGGCAGTCCCCGAAATTTAGTCACAGACTATCGACCGATTTTTGGGGCCCCCGAATTTCGATGGTCCCCGACCTCAACCAAAAGAGGCTGTTGGATCGATAGGTACCAAAAATGGACCTTCAGTGGCTATCGACCGGAAGCTGAAATAATCGTCTTCCGTAGTCATCGAAAGATCGGGGGCCACTGAAAATTGGTTTCTCCAACTGCAACCGAAACGGACTGTTCGATCAGAGATAAATAAGTCGCTCCGTGAGTAAAGTAGATGAGGGTGGACTTTAAAATATATATTTTGAAAAGGCTAGAACGCACTCAAATGGTATGCACTTATCTACACTACAGACACTCACTGTAATGCAGGGTTTCTCAACCAGGGGTCCTCGCACCCTTTGGAGGTGCGATGTAGTATTCCAAGGGGTGCGAAACAACATTTTATTTTTTCTACACCAAAATGGGCGAGGGTGGATTTCAACGCATATATGTAGTAAAATGGGTACAATTTGTAATGGAACTGAATAGGAGGATTTGTGTTGGATCGTCTAGTAATATGATGATGTGATGACCATTCACTTTGATTCATTTAGTAAAAATAAGAAGACGATGAAGATATTGCGGTAATGAGTAGGACTGGGACGAAGTTAGTGACAATAACTTTGGGTGGTTCGTGGTAAGGAAATTAACTCAGGATGGAGTTGGTGGTAGTGATGACGTTGGACGATAATTGCGATACCAAAAAGGTTAGGATCACGAAGGAATAGTAACACGTTACACGGGGTTGGCAGGTGAAGATCGACGAGAACGCTGAAGACACTTCAGTTTAATCGAAAACTTTAATGTTGTTGAAACGAGAATGATGAATGAATGAACACTGATATTGGATTATTGGGGATGAAAAATGATAAGATTTTGTAGGATTGAAAACTATTGAAACAAGGTTACAAGAAATGATACGGTGTTTTGTGAAAGTGACAACAACCGAGATAAGGCTACAAACCTAAATGCGTCGCTATGAATTACGATGAATCATCGCATATATGAGAATAGTGCATGAGATTCAATGTATATACATATGAGAATACATATTTGAATACAGATGGGAGTGATGTATAAAATGGTACCCGGTCAATCTGCCTAAAGACATTTTGCCTAACGACAGTTTGCCTAAAGACACACTGCCTAACGGACAGTTTGCCTAACGGACGATTTGCCTAACGGATGGTTTGCCTAACTTTCGGTTTTTCAATGAATATTTCGCCTAATTGGCAAACTGTTTCTTAGACAAACTGTCTGTTAGGCAAATTGTCCGTTGGACAAACTGTCCGTTAGGCAAATTGTCCGTTAGGCAATGTGTTTTTAGGAAGATTGACCGGTCACGACATAAAGTACATATGAGAGTGCGTAGGATGCATACATTATCAATATTCACAAGAACGTCATTATCAGTTATGATATTTGTTAACATCATAATTAATAATAATTAATATTAATAGTAAGAAGAGAAGGAAATGTAGTAAATGTTGCGAGTTCGCAACAATACATGTGTATGAAGAAAGCGAGGTGGACTTCAACGTATATATTTTAAAAAAGGCTAGAATGTACTGTAATGGTACACACTTATCTAAACTACAGACACTTACCGTACTGGATGAGAGAGATACAGAGTAGGTGCTGTTAGGGGTGCGGGGACACTTCAGCTATTGTTGTAGAGGGTGCAAAGATGCTTTTGAATTTTTTCAAGGGATGGGGGTGAGAAAAAAGGTTGAGAACCACTGCTGTAATGGATAAGAGATATAGAGTGGATGTTGTTAGGGGAGTGAGGACATTTTAACTATTGCTGTAAGGGGTACAAGGACATCTTAAAATTTTGTAGGTGTGTGTGTGGAGAGAGGAGTGGGGGGAGGTCGAGAACCACTGCTCTACGTGATTAAGTAATCAATTCTTAAGTAATCAATACGTGATTAATTATCTGGGAACATCTCGACAGTATCGATTGGATTTACTCCAGTATATGCACTGTTCGTACTTTCCAGAACATGTACTAAATTTGAAAGCGGCGTTGTGAATGGATAATTGATTAATTGCACAAATAAAATTGATCAAATAAAATAAAATAAATGAAATCAAAAATAAGATAATATAAAAATAAAACCAAATCCAAATAAAATCGCCGTTCAAAGACTTGAATCAAGAAGAGAATACGAAAATTTATTTCATATCAACTTTGTTTTCTCCACTGTCTTACTTTAACGACAACTATTGCAAGCAGCACCGTACACACAATCATTCATAATGGCAGGACAAAAACAACGGATATATATGTATGAGAATATAATACTTATTTATTGCCACAGTTATCAATATGTCAGTTGGAATATAGATCACGAAACATGATAGCATTTTGATATGGTAATGCTGTTTTGTGAAGAACTGAATCTAGCGACGACGACAGACGTTTTTTTTGAGTGTCATTGAAATGATGCTGCTTATCGTTTCCAGCCGTCGATATGATATTTGCAGCTAATTAGCATTATTCCTAGTGTCAGTGTCAATTCACCTCAAACTGGACGAACAACTTTTTTGGCCGCATTGACGAAGTGAAAGACATAATGAGAGAATGAACGACTGAATAAATAAATGAATGAACAATAAATTTTCTTAACAGATTCATAAACAATGATTGATTACAATGATAATCACCGCATCCAACTGTCAGTGGATCACTTTCTCCAAAATGTACAACAAATCAATTTTTGGATACAATAAAAGGCTTGTTACTCATCAATTGCGTTATTTATTTGTTCATCCATCGCTTTACATACTGTTGTGGCGCGGGGACGGGGAATTCCCCGAAATTGCGGCTGAAGAGTCGAGGATGGGAACACTCGAGGATTTTCGGGGATCTGGAATTTTGGGAATCCTCGAATTTCCCCGAAAACGGAACTTTGGAACTTGAGCCAGCAGGACCTTAAAAACATGATTTTTTGTTGGAAAAGCACTGTACGCAACCGTCTCTCGTTCACTTGTTGCACCTTTTATCAACACATGATAATTGTACTTTAGTTTATTCATGCAACGAGCTTATAAACCAACATCGTTTATTTACACCAATAATTATCATTCTTAGCCAATGAACGATATTATCATACTGCTAACAACGAAAATCTATTGGCGAATCGCAACATTTAGAGGTGTTATCGGAATTAATCAAAACTGAATATGTAGTTACAATCAAAATCAATAAAATTTTACTAATTAGTCAATCTGATACTTTCCTTAAAGATTTCAGTCAATCACCATGAATATATTCAAATCTATTCACTTTTCTGGTCATCAGCAATGCAAAAATCAAACAAATATTATTTATTCAAAATATCTTTCTTTCATTCTCTGTGCAACAGAGAACAATTTGTTTATTACAACACAATCACCTTATAAAATGTTTTAACAATTAATCTGAGTTACTTAATAAATAAACAATCAGTGAACAAATGTAAAGCATCATCGATAAGGTTGGAGAAAAATCACAAAACTAAAAGCTCCGTTCATAAAGCAACACTAGCAGCTCGATCAATAATGCACTTGATAAATAATAATAATAATAATAATAATAATAATAATAAAGATGACTATTATTATCATCATAACAGTAGCAATAATAATAAAGATATTAATAACAATAATAATTCTTATTAAAGTAATAACAACGCTCGTCGGATGAGCATGACACGAATAATAATTTTAAATTGAATGAAGTAAAATCAAAATCACAACAACAAAACAAATAGTATTAAATAAATGCAAAAGAGAATTACTGCTTGTAACGCAATAAAATAGTGATAATAATCTAAGTGACAAGTGATCGTAACAGTTATTTTTCAAAGAATTTGGAATATCGATATTCCAATATCGAATATCGATAAAGAATATCGAATCGAATCGATAGACGAATAACATATCGAGAATAAATACATATCGGTCATTATTTGGTAAGGCACGAGTGGTTGATGGGTGCCACTGGACGTTGAGGATTGCTGTTAAACGATGGTGTGTGGTGATGATACCCATGAGCATGAGAATGGTCAGCATTCGTGCACGGCTCTTTACCTCTTATGAACACTATCGCTGAAAGCCGTATGTTTGTGAATAAGGCACACGTCTCTAATGCTAATACTACTTACATTCACAAAACGATGTTGAGCATTTACGTTGCTCATTTGACTGATCGTAACAAATTGTTGCCAAACCTAATTTGTTCATCCATCTGAAAATTATTTATTCAACAATACTGCCTTACATGTCATTCTTATCACCGCACCATTCTATCGCATCGCAATTTCTCCCAATAAGTGAGGAACATAAACTGGACAAAAATGCTAAAAAGTTATCAGAAAAATTGTTACGTTTTCATTTCTTGCAGACTGTATGCTGACAGATATAGAACTGTTGATTGACGGTATAAACGAAATACACTGCAATATATTCATCTTCATATAGGGTTCAAAAAGGAGCGGAGTACGTACAGGGGAAAAGCGGAGGATTTCAGACTTTTCTATAACCACTTTAAATTAGGTAAAGCAAGCCCACGCTCCTTACTGGGACCGCAAGCGTCAAGTGGACACTAACGGACCTAGTAAACTGAATGGATTATTGATCGAAATGCTGTGGTAAAATAATGAGAGCAGAGGTGTGACTCATGACAAGTTAGTTACTATACCTGCAATAAATGGTACACGACATACGGCACACGCAATGAATGCTCTTGTTGAGGAGCAGTCACCCCACCGCGCTCACTTAACTTAGCGGGCATGGAGATACAGCACGAGACATTGTTTTGAAACGAATGTACTTTTCAAACGAAATGGATAATTAACAAATGAAACTTACTATTTTTTTGATGTTTTTAATTCAGGCGCATCGGAAACATAAAAGTTTGCGAGTGCGATCACTAAGTCGGCCTCTTTCGCCTGAATATAAATTTGCAACGAACTTTTGAAAATGTTGCTGCTTACAGTAACAGTAATAATAACATAAAATGTATTGGCGAGTCAAATGAATAATCGACTGCAACTAACGTAAGGGTTATCGTAGACAAATAAAAGGCTCGATCTCAGCACCATCCAACACTTCATCCATTTACCATTCACTGAACCACCGCATATCTCCTCCTTCAAATGCTTCCTTCGAATCCGACCTTCGTACTGTTTCGCATCCAACATTTCACATGGAACTGTACCCAACTGTTGCACCATGTTTCCCTTCTCACGCCCATCTGCATCATCATTCTTCCTTATTTATTTATCTGTATAATTTGCGTTCTTCAATAATGACAAATAACTATATACCCTCAGTTGACAATTGATCGTTGCGCGCTGGTAATAGGTAGTGTGTAATCCCTTCATCATCCGTATCACTTTCCCACGATGTATCGTTGATTGTCTGAATTAAGTACGGCCTTTTACATATCATATCAATGAAACACTTGTTGGAAGAGCGTTAGAAAAGAAAGCGTAATGAGAATGAATAGATGAATGATTATGAAATAACAAACTATCAACTAACTGAATGTGATTTTGACTTGAATGATGCACTGAAAAAAGATCGAACACGAAAAGATAAGCCTTGCTTTGTGCGTTGAAATGTAATGTTGTTGTGAGACGATTTGATGATGGAGTCTGATGACTTTGGTGACGAGCAACGAGTTATTATGCATGGAACATCGTGTTGATACTGATGCAGCACTGCACTCCTGAAATGGTGTTTTCTGGTAACTATGAAGGTAACAATTAAAGCACATACCTTCATATTGTTTTGGATGAAACGAATTTTTAACAGTCAAAAAAGAAAGAAGATGATGAATATGTATTAGGAATAACCAAATCCAACAATATGAACAGTATTGCTAGGAATATAAACGATTGCTATAAATGAATAAATTATATCAAATAAAAATCCAATAAACCATACGATGAATTCTTCATATAATTGCCATTTCTACTAAAGTGATCGGTGCAAGTAACAAAATTTGACGTTGAATAATCAGTACTATTATCACTGATAAAATTGGATGTAGACGAGGCAATGGAATGATCAATTGATAAATTCTGTGTTGAACTCCATTCGTCCAATTTCATTGTTCCATTCAACGTCACCAATTCATCCTCGTTTGCGACTTCGATTAAAGCATATTCCTGCGGCTCTTGTTCTTCACTTATCAATAAGGCGCTATCAGCTTAAACAACTATTTACTGTTGGCATCAACAAACAATTGTTTTTAATTATTGATTGTTCAGTAAGCAATATAAAGAATAAGAACATTAATAAGAATACCACATCTGGGCGATGAAGAATGAATAAGTTGTTGGTGATGAATAAGATTATTAATGTAATCAGAATCCAGTTCACAATGATCGATTAGAATGGACTGCGGATTGGTTGAATGATCAGCAATTAAACAATTATCAATGAATGATCGCACATAATCGTTCGGTTGTTGTCGCATTGTGTGACGACGTCTTTCCACCATCATATCACTATCTACAATATCACTTACTACTTTTCCACTAATCCTCAAACTCCTACCAAGGCTGGTCTATCTCTTAAATACCACACTGATCTGTCTCGGTATCTGAGTGAGGTATCGGTACAACAAATAATAGTTTGCGATAAGAGTCTGAGTCTAGGCCTAAGCCCAAATGTAATCCATCACTTTGATTATCACTAAATTTTGTTCCGCACATAATCAATGTTCTTCTCACTTATAAAACAACGAATCAATACAAGCACAGAACAAAAAACAACAACAACACGACAATGCATTCTAAAATAAATTCCTTACAAATATTATTCGGGGGTTGATTACTGCATGCACCAACATTTGATTTATGCGTTGATGACGGTTGTTCTAGGCCAGCAATATTCAAACGTTCAGCAGATGATGACGATGACAAAACTGGATGATTCAAACTTTTAATCGATGATAACAAAAAAGATAATGAGTTTTTATAACCAACACCAGCACTGCCGCTTCTCATCGGTTGACGTTCAAAGCAGATACTGTGACGTTTAATATTATTATTGCTATTTTGAACTGTTGAATAACTCATATTCAAACTTGATTTTTCATCGTTACTCCATCTAGAATTGATTATTTACCATAACAAACAAAATGGACATTGACTACATATTAAAGTTTAATTGAAAACTGAATAAGCATCAAGCATCTTATCTGGAATCAAACATCGAGAAATGCTCACGTATGATGTCGACTAGGGACACATTTCAAAAAACAAGCATCTGCATTCCAACTCGCTGAACGATAACGATATCGCTGTTGTTGACGCATTGAAAGTTTCTTCAAAATTTCATTAATTCAAAATTCGTGAAATATGTTGGAAGAAAACAACTATGTTAATCAACAAATGAATAACGAAACGAACATGAACATTGTAACTAATTGCTGATGATACAACTGATGACGAGCTGTCATCACGCTCACAATTATCAATCGGGTCACTATCATTCAGAACATGCTCGCTAGTTGAGTGCGTTGACGGCAATTGATAACGCCAACTGCATTCAGCTGATACTGCAGCATCGGCAATTGGTCGTTCAATCAACGAGATATTATTGATCCACGGCTCACGAGGTCTCTTCTTCACCAGTAATACCAACTCATTCAGCGCTCTCTCAGAACATTTCGTTACACCCGAACAACAATGTATCTTTTCAACCACTTTCGCTAAATCCCATCCAATTACTGTCTCACCATTCACCTGTAATTATTACTATTCATTCATTGATTTGCACAATTCATTCAGAAACCAACACACCTTATTTTCATAATTTTTATTTATTCAAAAGATATGATAATAATGGAACTAAAACTCAGTCTTTATCTTCTTGATATACTCGCTTATATACTTTCTTCAACATTCACACTGATTTACTGGATCATTGCAAAACTAAATTGCTTGTATCAATATCATCTATCTTGACCAACAGAAACAACTGCCTATCCACTAAAGTTAGCACCGGGACCCCACGGAAATGAGGATTGGCGACACAGTTCCGTTACGGTGTCAAATATACTACCTACCTATTCAAAACCAACTGAACAACAACCAAAAGTATTCAAAACCGAATTCCAAAATAATCACAACTCACACCATTAATTTACCTGAATTAATTCATCACCAGCGTCCAATTTTCGACACGCATCAGCTGGTGATCTCAGTTTTACGTTACTGATCATGTGCACTCCCAAATAAGTGGACTGCACATCGAAACCCTGCAATATAGATCATGAGCACAGCCAAACAGCATCACTAATGACTAACCCATTCCAGTTGACTGATTCGCCGACGCAAATAAATTCGCTCAATATGTGCCGTATACAGAATTAGAGGATCATTCGAGTGGCGTATAACATCTTTACATTTTGCTATTAATTGCGTTGCCATCTGTAAAACTTCATTTATCAAACACTTCACAATTTCTTTATTCAACACCTTAATCGTTTTCAAATCTATCTGTGAGCGAGTACAATCTATTATATAACGAAAAGGTTACCTATCTAGAATGGAAATAAAAGATTGAATAAATATGGCAATAATAATAACAACAAAGAGATCATAATGAATCAGCTAACTCCAATAAGATTATGATACTGTGAATACGAAGATGATACGTTGGATAGATTGACAGCATTTGAGAATGATAATGCAACTGACATTAATTGCATTCGAAATTCGATGTAGGTTTTTAGACGATCGAATGGACTCCTGTACAAAAATAAATAAAGTTAGAGAGGTTCGTTCTGAGGATAGAAATATTGCATACCTATCCAACCAGTTCATAAGATTTTTTAGTTCATCGACAATCCTTGAAATAGCCGCATAAAGTGAACCCAATCGTTGCGTTTCTCCTTCTGATTTGTTCATATTGGTTGTGAATAAATTACGTATTTCATTACACAGTTCATTCGCACTCACGCAAATATTCAAGCACAGTGATTGAATATTTTCTGTATCGATTGAATTGCACTGCAATCGATCAATATTCAAATCCACATTTTATTATCATTACCCAAACAAGAACGTTGACTGAAGCACTAACAAAGTGAAGCAATAGTCTGACGGCTTGTAAAATCAACTTTCTCACACCAACTTTATTAATACCAGCCAAACAAAGCGTATCGTCATCTAGCACTGCTAACGTATGTCCATCAATACCATACTTTTTAATACCATCTATATAGGGTAAAACGCTATCATCAGTACCTGCAACTTTACGAGTGTATACTTTAAAGGATGAGTATCATTTAGATAACCTTGTTGGAGACGACAGATGAGCACTGGTTTTAATTTCATTCCCTGACCGATGAGACGACTTGTTATTGAAAATTTGACTGATTGCAGCAAATGACCGCATATTTAATTGAGCCTTACTTTACAAGAGAAGTAAGTTACCTTGAATCCATCGTACAACATCATCCACAGTCCATGCTTCAACAACATTCCAGAAGCACAACTGACTTGGTGGACCATAATAAGGCACCGTATTCGTTCTTATTGAAGGAATCGTATTAAATATGTTCATTTGTGAGGTAGATGGTTGTTAGTTAAACCGATTTAACGAATACGATCCAAACGAACAACACGGAAGGGTTGAAGTGAATAGGTAACATTGGTCAATGCTCTGAAACGATTCATCGATGAGAACTGATTGTTAACCGAGTCACAGAAGAACTGCATGACCACTCAGTTACTACAGCAGCCAAGAGTACGATCTCTTGCTCTTATCAGTTCGATATCGTAGAGCAGTGACAACATGACACCATCAACAGTGCTATATGTACATATCTATGCTACTTGCGCTTTTAAAAGCGCAACCGCTCAGCTTAATGTCATCGTCTGTTCATCTTCACCCATAAAAGCGTTATTAACTGCTCTTTACCACACAAATTGTGCTGCTATTAAATGAAATTTCAAACTGGAAATGTTTACAAGTTGACAAACTATGGCATCTATTGTCGAACATATCTGATTTATATACTTGTTTATTTGAAGAGATAATCGCGACCCAAGGAACGACTGCTTTAGTGAACGAGTAGCGATACAAAGTTTTGTGTGAAGTCGAATTGGAACTGATAGTTTCGAAAGGCTAAGAATATTATTTTAATCAGTGTACGAACCGTTGAAATATGAAGTAGTGCCCTTTATTCACTCATATGCTTGATGTGCATATTTCCCGCAAATCCATCAGTGGAATGAGAGTTCAAAAGGGATGAAAATTTGAAGAGAAAAAAAGACCAAATTTATTTTATTTTCTGTCAACGAAAAAAAAATCAAAGAAGTTTATCTGCTTTCTTTTTAAAATTCAGTCTATCTGATATTTTGCATTTCAATCATGCAAAGTGCAATACGAACGAACAACCATGATGTTCACATTAATTGCAATTCACATATGCGCACACCACCAACTTGCTGGTACAATTGCAGCAGCATAAGACTGATAGATACGTCAACAAATTTCTTTCCAGCTCCCGAAACACATGACATGCAGTTTATAATTCATCCTTCTTAATAATATCGATATAATTTAATGACGATAAAATGGATTTAAAGAAAGGTGACACAATGAAAAAAATAAAATCAAAAAATCATAGCGAATAGTGAACGAATATGTCGTGTGAATAATATTGACAAAAACGATTTCAGAGGTTTCATAAATGAATTAAAACGATCAGCTCGGATAAAACCACATGTGATCACCGAAAACATCCCGTCAAACAGAGAGGGAAAACTCATGGAAATTGTCACTGTGTAACTGATAGAAAATAGATGGGCGAAGGAATATTAATTAGAATATAAGAGGAAGCGTTGAAGAACGACTGAATGGTGAGACAAGACACAAAATAAAAATATGAAGGAAGCGATTGAGAATGATGACAATGAAAGAAGAGAAGGAAGCACCGTGCGGGTTCATCGATTACTAGCGTTACGCGAACAGATGGAGCAATACAGCATCGGATGGATCGTATCGCATCTGATCTCAGAAAGATTGACTCGATAGATATGTCTTGCTCGTAACACCTGAGATTTGCAAATACACGATTGACATTGACAGCCACTGCCCATCAGACTAACAAGTGAATGAAGAAATAAAGTGCCACTCAACAGATAGATAGTCTGTGATAAATATAATACGGATATTGTTGAGAAAATGAAATCACACCATTCAATTTATAAGTATTGTGAAGAGAATGATCAAAATCGAAATTCTCAATTCAACAAATCTAGCTGATCAATAACAAATAAATACATAGATTGTTTATTAATATGGCATAGTTACAGTAAATGATAACCAATACACGTACAAAACATATAAAAGCGCGCACTGATGTAAAGACGAAAATTTCTTTTATTTAAGTGCAGATGGAATACAACAAACTGTTGATAATTCAATAATATGAACTGGACGAGCACTACAAAAAACCTTTTTGGTTGCAGATAATACACAGGAATGGATGGTGAGTCAACAGTCATAAATAACTGTTCCATGAAATCATCTTTCAACAAGTTATTAATCTTTCAAATTCACATCTCAACAAATTATTGACTGACTACAAGCTGTAATTGAAATTAAGCGGTAAAATAGTTGTAGTGGGTAGAATAAACGATGAAATGAATAAGAAGGGAGAGCGGGGAAGGTAGGTCATCACACCATTCAAATGAGATTTAACTGGATCTAAATAAGAGTTGGTGACGAATAAATATAAAGAACGAACACGACTGAAATGAAATGATTACAATTTCAAAGGGTTTAAAAATAAAAGAAATAATGTTCTTATAACATATTCTATTCCATCACACCTCTAAAGAAGATCACATTTACCCTTCTTCTTCTTCTTCTGCTGCAATGCAGCCTGTGTGGCCTTTTCGAATACTTCTCGGATACCCTGAAATTAATTCAATATTCTTTCATCCCTTCAACTTAAATCAAATGATGACGATAAGATGATAATAATAACTGTGAAAATAACATCGACATAAACTAACGTCTTTGGTTTTCGCAGAGCACTCCAGATACGCGAATGCATTTATTTGCTCAGCGATAGCCCTACCCTGTTCCGATCGTACTGGCTCTTGCTTCATTTTGGCCAAATCTCTAATCGTTTGCGGATCGTTTCTGAGATCTTTCTTATTTCCTACCAATATTATGGGCACATTCGGACAGAAATGTCGTACCTTAAAGTACATTCAACTCTATCAATATTATCGCCACCATTTCTTCCATCTGATTTATCAATTTCGAATCCTTCAAATGAAAACAAAAAGCAACTAACTAACCTCAGGTGTCCATTTTTCTGGGATATTCTCGAGAGAATCCGGAGAATCGATGCTGAAGCACATCAGAATAACATCCGTGTCCGGATAGCTGAGAGGACGTAAGCGATCATAGTCCTCTTGGCCTGCTGTGTCCCATAGAGCCAATTCTACCTGTAACACCCACCTACTCAGCTATTGCTGCATTACAAACAATGATCAACATTATTATCAATCAATTTGAACCGAACAACACCATCAATAATATCAACAAAAAGTAATACTCTAACCTGTTTTCCATCAACTTCGATATCGGCAACGTAATTCTCAAAAACGGTTGGCACATAAACGTCAGGGAATTGATCTTTGCTGAACACGATCAACAAACACGTCTTGCCTTAAAAACAACAATGCATTCAATCAATTTCAATTCATATCCAAAAAAGGGAATATAACTTAGTCTTAAAAGTGAGCCAACCACCAAAAATGTTGCATTTGTCATCTTTCATTAAATAACTACGACGATTGCTGGTAACGTTCATTCGGAGAATATTCTTCTCTGTCACCCTTCTTCTGCCAAATCCGAACAACGCAACAAATCAAAACGAAACATACCGCATGCTCCATCACCGACAATCACCAACTTCTTGCGGATGGCAGCCATATCCGGAACGTAATACCTACAAAAAACGTAATACCTACAATCCTTAATCAACCAACCAATCGAACTGAAACGACACAAATCGACTGCATACGATCCTTCTAGCACAACGATGGAAAAAATAAAATATTGCCACCGTTGCACAGAAATTATTAAAAGACAATGTGAGAAATCAATAACAGATCGAACGCATAAGAAATGCAAAAATTCAAAAACAATTCGTTACGTAACGTCGAGACGCAATGTTAAGTTCAGCTGGATGAATCTTGTTTGATAGGACGACCAAGAAATCAAATCAACAGAGATATGAGCATTGAAACAACCATTCATCGAAAATTTATCATTATAAATAACTACTCGTCATATTCCAATAACTAACGAAATACAGTTTGAAAAAACTGTATTTCCAAGACGCATGTGTGCCCACATGCGTCTTGGCATCGTGCGTGCTCAACGCATGCATGCATGCATCCAATCTTCTTCTTATTCCCTTTACCATCCGTCTTTTCAGTAGATGAAATAAAATAGATACATACATAGACGCAGCAAAATATATTCATCCAAGCCATCCATCTATCAAGCAGTCATCGTTAGCACCAGCAGATCACACCAACCACAACCATTCTTTTTACCACCACACTCATTCAACCCAACTCAATTCATTCCAATCTTTTCTTTCATACTCTTCAATCATATTCGTCTCTACTGCAGCCACTCATATTCGCATTATTCCAACTACACGAATGCATTCAATATACAAAATTATGCACTTCAAACAACGATGAAACAAACCACCAAATAAAATTTACAAACTATATGTTTGCGCACATAAATATGAAATAAAACGTGTACATAAGTGAACGAAGCAACAAAATACTACTGGGTTGCTTCCAGCTTGCATTTATTAGTGATGCTTAATTCAGCAAACAGTGTCTGTGCTCAGTTTATTTCAGTTCTTCAACTCAACAACTATACAACGAACAACCATAACAAATTGCTGCTAAGACTATCAACTCTGCCTGCAGCTGCCGCTGCTACAATCGCCGCCGCCGTGCCGTCGATCCAATGTTGCATCAAAACGATAAACTGAGGAGAATACGGACAAAAGAAATAAACCACTACTAAGCGTGGCGTCACTCCTTTATTCATAAATTATTCGTACACAAGTCGCTATCAGCAACGAATGTTCGTTTTCGTTCTGAGACACTATTGTGCATTGAATATATCCGTTCTACTTATACCGCTAATGATGCAACCTAACAACACCAGTATTAGTTGATGTAAACTCTCGATATGACAAAGCAAAAGAATTTACTTCGTCAATTAGATCGTTGTGATTACTATTTAATTAGCGCAGTTGGTAATCTTCTAGTTCAGGTTGGTAAAATCAAAACAGCACCTCATTCGTTCACGTTCGCAGTTGATAAGCCTAAGCCTGGGCTTAAGCGTAAGTATAAGCCTAAGCATAAGCCTTAAGCCTAGGCCTAACTACACCACACAATTAACTGCAAATGTGAACAAACGAAATGCTGTTTTGATTTTACCAACCTGAACTGCAACATGACCGCGCAGTTAATTATTTGCTTGTTACATATAAACATGAGCAACAAAAAAGACAAAATCATTTTTGCACAAGATATATTTTATTTTTCGCCTTTTCCCAACTCTCTTATCTCATCAATGGAACAAATCAACGAATGAATTATAGTGCCCCGCCTCGTATTGCCGGAACAAATGAATATGAAAGTTTCATTGCAAATCTCTCTATATTATTTATTCCACTTCATTTTAATTAAATTATTTGAGTCAATAACTATTGGCGTATATCATTCTTAGCATTGGTATATTAGGATCAGAAAGGTGATGTTGAGTGAGCAGTCAAAAGGTGGTTAATAAATGATTAAATTGGGTTATGTTGATCATAAAAGATGACATTTTGCTAGCTAAAAAAGAAGTCCATTTTTTGGTTGTTGTTTAAGTGCTGCTCCTGCTGGCGCTCTCGAAATTTGACCATTTCCTCCCAGATCAATTCTGAAATATTTTTTGATTGCAAACGAATCACGAGACGTGTAATGATTTAAATGAAGTTACGTTTCCACTGTTGAAGTGTCTTTTGATGATCGTTACATTCATTGATGACAAATGCTTCACTAGCAACTGGTTCATCATCAGGCGCATGATAGTCACGTAAATACGCATCTTCTAATGCTTCTTGTACCGTCATTCTGGATTGCATTTTCGATTATAAATTTTTTAATACATAAACGAACAAATATAGAATGAAAAATTACACAACGAACCTTTTCTCCGGGTCTAAAACGAGTATCTTATCTAAAAATTTGATCAAATCTGGAGAAAATGAATTTCCAAAATACTCCATAAAATTTTTTCGTTTGTATTCACCGAGGTGCTTAATGACATTCACAATCGCTTCATTATGTGATAATTTCGCTAATAAATCCTTATCTGGACTTCCACACAATTCGGTTATCAGACGATACTGAGCCATTGCTGAAATTAATAATCTGATAATATCACTACTATTATAAACTAAACCGAATTTGCATATTGCAAAATTACTCGAAACTTACAGTCATCACCGGGAAAAAGTGGCCGTCCAAGGCTGAGTTCAGCAAGGATACATCCAACCGACCACATATCAGCTAAATCAAATCAGTGATCAGAAAGTGAATAAAAAATGAAAGCATAAATGCACCGATGAACCTTGTGTATCATACGAATCCACTTTCCAATAAATAACTTCAGGACTGCGATACCAACGTGTCATCACATATGCCGACAGAGGCGTATCGTCGTTGTTCAACGTTCGAGCCTGTCCGAAATCCAACACTGATAAATCACAGTCCGCTGTTAGTGCCAAATTGCCCGGCTTTAGATCACGATGAATCACCTCAAATAAACATATTGCAAGACTCAAATTAAGATGTCTTCAATATATCCAAGTCTGAAGAACGTACACCTGCTGAATGGATATATTTCAATGCTCTCAGCAATTGATATATGATGAATTTATTGTGAGGTGGTGTTAGCCTTACAATACCCATCTCTTTTTGCCATTCCAAAATTTCACTAAGACTCCTTCCGGCATACTCGCTTACAATATACCTAAATAACAACACTGATATTAATTCAAAAAAAAATTACTTAAACATTCACCGAAAAAAACAAAACAAATACGTTATTGTTGCTCACACATTTTGTAAGGATGACGGTGATGTATCGGGTGTATATAAATCGACCAGTTTCACGATATTCTCGTGTATCATCATTTGCAGCAATTTTATTTCCCTTAAGTACACACTGACAATAATAATTAATAGTAATAATTAATAATAATAATGATACCTAGTAACAAAATGATAATAGTATTAAAGCATTTAAAATGAAAAAATTAAGAACAATTAAAAATGAGTGAATAAGAAACCTGAACACTCGTTGAGCATTTTTGACATCTCGAAATGGTTCATAAAGTTTTTTGATAGCAACACAAATCTGCTTACCATCTCTACAGACGTATTGCGGTACTTTTCTGAGAATGACAATGAGTTGAACATTAAGTAATATCGTCAACGTAATCGGATGTTAAGGTATAAAATTTCTTGAAAGTGGTGTGCCGTTGCGCTGCGAAAAAGGATCGAAGAAAATCATTCATTTTATCATATATGAATTTACAAAATGATGTGTGACACCACCAACACACTAATCACGGTTCTGTCTTCAATTCCTTTTTACTGGCGCTTTTAACCATTCTCAAAACACTGCATTGTTACCGTCAATACTAGCAACAAATACTGTTCAGCAATTCCACTAGCGAATCGAAATAACCAACTAACATAACGTTGCCAAACGATCCACCCGCAATATATTTAATACCACTCAAATCTGCAGAAGTTGCTTCTTTTGGCAACGCAAATTCCACCGTATTCATTGTCAAATAACGATATTGACATAAACTTGTATTTTTATGACACATCATTGTATCGATATCATATATTACTTATTTCCATGTA